TTAATATATAAAAAAATATATAAAAAATTATCTTTTACAACTTTTATCTATATTTTTTTATATTTAATCAAATTACTTTTATATTGATATTTATATTAGATAAAAATTCCGTGTGCATCAGAGAGAAAAAGAGAAAAAATCAAAATAATTAATATATTGCATATTATGTTAATTTTTAACAGAATAGAATTAATTAATTTTGATCATTTTCAAGATAACTAACCGATAATACAAGAACTGAAGAGCCCAGAAGATACCCTCTTCTTGCCATTGAGTTACGAATAGACACCTTAAAGTGGCTACGTCTAGGAAGGTTGCAGCTCGAACATCCAGATCGACTGCTGCAGAACCGGCAGCCTGCTCCGTCGTTGCATCATCAAGTTGACGTTGAACCGAGACACTTTCATGTGTTTTCGAAATTTCCTGCGGTTCTTTTTCCGCCTTACAAATTTTCTCCTCTTTTTCCTTTTCCGCCTCTCTATAATAAAAAATACTCTTTGATAAAAATTACTAAATATCAAACTATTTTGCCTAAATCAAAATAGGTGAGATTGAAAATACAAATATTTGTTAAGCTATAAAAGAGTTTCTTTTAATAGCTTTAATTTTAATTAAATAATTAAATAAAAATTATATATAAAAAAATATAAAATTCAGCCAACCCGGTTTTTGCTGTTTTTCCATGATATTGTTTGCACGTGTCTAATCCAGAAATTGCTGTGACCTGCTCTATCGTCAATGTAGATTTCGAGGAGCTGGTCGTCCTGCCCATCGCGACGTGAAAGATGCTGGCTTCACCCTGCGGTAGCCACAAAAATATTATTTGTTCTGCGCTTAGTCTCAAGACATTACCTCGCGTAACTCACTGCAAATATGGTGGAAACTTCTTTTACCCCATCAAGCATTCTCTCCGATTCACTCAAAGATGGTAATCTGAATATTACCTAGTATAATGAAAAATACGTTATTTGTCAATTGAGTATGTGCTATTAATATCCATTAAAATTATTGTATAAGCTCTCTTCCTTACCACATGCTCGTCCTCCGCGCCGGAGCTTTCCTCAGGAATGGTTTCTGGGAAGACTGTGTCTTTTGGTGATAACAACCAAGTACTCTGTTGCTGTTATTATTTATATAAATTTACTTTTCCTGTTTTATTTAATCGAAAAACTTTGAAATACTTATTTTATTTGATTTTAAACTCACATCATCGTCAATTGCTTTCGAAGACGGTGGGGCGCTTTGATCCGAAAACGATTGGTTGAGTGGACTTTCGATATCTAAACAACATTTAATGAAAGAAAGAGATGATAAAATAAAGAAAAAGAAAATATTGTTAAATATAAAGATAAATTCGTTAAATATATAACAGATATTTTAATATAATATAATATAGAGATTATTTTATACTAGAAAAATATATGTATAATAGACTTTGTGTGTTATTAACAAAGCGGACTTACTTCCTCCGACAAAGACATCATCGGACAATATGTGATGCTTGGCGGATTTAAAAGTCCGGTTCCAATAAATACGCGGCTTGGCACGGCAATGCGCCGTGAAGCAAGATGCCTCCGGATGTCGGCATTCGTACATGGCGGACCATATTTTTAGGCCATTCTCTAATCGTAAATTCGTCTTGAAATCGATGTCTTTTAAATGATTAAACAAAGGCGCAAACAGGTAGACAAAGAGCTGGACCAAGAAAGAGAATAATCAATTTCACAATTTATGTTTCATTCATTAGATCATATAAAAGAAAAAAAAAATTCAATAACATACCGTCATGGTGGGTATCGGAAATAAGTAAAAAAAAGGATTTGACGGATCGACTTCGTTCTCGGAGCATTCCTCAGCCGAATCTAGGAGTATCCAGTGGAGAATATAAAGAAGAGTCGTTTCCATCGTGCCGAGACTCTGAAAATCCTTCCTGAAAAATTAACGACGACGATTTTTCTATCGCCTGAAAATTCAACCTGGAGAATACATATTGTTCGGTGTAGATCACCTATTATGCAAAAGACTGGCCGTAGCATGGAGAACGTAAGGAAGAGGGCTCAACGAGGGTGTCAGATCATTGTGAAGATTTTGTACTAAAACTCTCTCAAGACACTATACGAAAAGAAGAAAGATACGTTTCAAAAAATGTTTTATCATTTTTTAGCTTTACACAATTATAACGTTCTCGAAATAATTACAAATTTGGGTCGACATTTTGGAATTAAAATAATAACTAATCTCATCTGGCTGTCGATGTAATAATATGAATTATTATATTTTTATATATTTTATAAAAAAAAATTATGTATACTAACCGTGCATGCTTCCTTCATTTCCTATGCGAGCGTTTAGGGAATTAATACACAATATTAATTTATAGAAAATGATATCAGAATTACAAAAAACGAGAAGAAGTCAAAATAAGATTTACAAGATAAACGTGTTAAAATAGCAAAATTTTGCGACAGGCTACGAGCAAAGCTACATTAAATGCTGTTATATTTAATAAATAATAAATTGTTTTATATAATAATGCAGATATACTCTGATATGTAAATATATTCAATCATAATGAAGTGCGTTTGTGTGTACTAAATTATTATATAAAATATTTTTATAGGATCTAAGAATTAATTATATCGGAAATCAATATTAAAGATAAAAATTACTTTAACATTAATATTTACATTCGACTACATTGTTTCATTCCAAATTGTGCTGGAAAATTAATTTGATACATCTATAGATTTCATCTGATTACAAGAGGAGAACAAATATGTACGAGATGCGAGAATGACAAGACCACGGAAATAGATCTATCGAAATGACCAAAGCAGGCTTGTGTGCAAGCTCGCAGGCAGGTGTTAAACGGGCGAGCCAACTTACATGATGGCCTGGCGCATGTTGACAGAACTGCAGGTGACACGTGGAGGCGGCCGCGTGGAGAGGACATATATGTTAGTGCGAGTGAAGCAGGTATTGCATAACATAAGACTAATAGAACGAAACGATTGTACATTGTGCATTGTGTTAAAACCCGAGATATATCGCCTTTATACGAAACCTTTACAAATAGGAATCGATATAAAATCTTTCAGGTTTTAACGCAAGGTATCAAAAATATGTACAGAACAGCAAGAAAGCGAATATATTCGATATCGAATATATCCTCTCTACAAAACATTGCATTGTTTCAATTTAAGGGGATAAAAATTAAAAAATATTATTTATAATTTTTTCATCCTGAGATCCTCCAGAGTTAATTGTCTGCAACTAACTTTGTAAACGTACGTACATTATGGAAAAAATATAGTGAATTAAATAAATAATAAAATCGTAAATCAAATTTATTTTTTCGCAATTCTGACCTTGTTTTTGAAGCAATAATACATATTTGTAACGACGCATAATGATCGTAATAGAACATCGTTATTCAAGACATATCCAAGAACCACGAAGTAGAACATATTTACATTAATGGACATATGAAGCGGGTTCTGAAGCACAACTTTGGCAGAGACGATCACGAAAGCGGAAACCGGTAGGAAGAAAAGTTCCTCCGTAAGATAAATGTATTTCCGCAATTTAAATTGGCATCTCGGGATCGATGATATCGAAAACAGCGGCTATTATTATAAAGATGCGATCAAAAATATTTAATTTAACCAACCGTTTTGATGAATCTCGCTCTTAATATTGAATGCATTAGGCATTCTTATATTTTATAATTACGGTTTAATATGTTTGATATAATTTTTTTTCCTTCTTTTTCAGTCTAAAAGATATCTAGAATAATTATTGATTGAGTTGTTACCGTGCAAGATGCTTCATGAAGTTTTCCTAGCTTAGCTCGAATAAATGGCCTGAAAAAATAGTAAAATGAATAGATTGTTTACTTACAGATGGAGAGAGATCCTTATTTACGGCTGAATACTTTGGAAATAATAAAAAATCAGCTGACCTTATATGTCGCCAAAGAAACATCTGAACCGGAATAGGCAAAGGTTGCTCCTGGATGACTCCATCCAAGGACCGTCGTTTATCCATGCTTGTTGAGGCTGGCACTAAGAGTATCACATGTAAAGAAGTTAAGTAGCTTAATTTAAAGAATGCAAATACACAGGACATGTTTCGTCGATTCATAGTACTGCCATCGCTGCCACGTGTCTCACCTCGTAAAATAGAATCCTGCCGCCTTTCACTGTCAAATGTCTACGTCGTGCGCACACCCTCGGCGGAATCAACGGCACTCCATCAGCTAGTGGATCAATTCCCGACCGGAAAATGTCGAAGACGCAAAAATCGAGGACTAGGATAAGAACGATCTTATCTTCAAACGAAAGATTCACATACTTTGCCGAGTTGTAGGAGAAAAACGTCTTCCTTGCCGCGAGAAAACGAATCGTTGCGCAATATTATTCAACTACCCTAGGCGTTCTCTGGATGCAGCCATTGAAGAATGCCGGGCATGATGTCGTCGAAGAGTAGCGCCGCGCGAAGAGAGTGCATCACGTGTTCCACTCGACCTAGTAACACACTTCTGTCATTTCCTGCAGGTAGAGGTGTACGATGCATCCCGGTGCCGGGATAGCGTGTGACTGAGGAGAAAGAGACGCGTTCTACGCGCCTTCGTCCTCGCAGGCAGGATGGTGAATGCGCGTGCGACTCTCGGAAAATCTAATGCGCCGGTCGTTTCATCGATCAGCCCAGGAATCTGCTGCTGGACCACCCCTGCGGGAGGCGACCCACCCTGTAGCGGACGTGCGGCGCCGCGCCGCGCCACCATTTTTACCCACCTAGCTATTTACTCGAGTGGCGCCTGATATTAACAATGGGCGAGGCCATCTTGGAGCAATGATTAGTAAAGTAATGTACCCTTTCTTGTTTTGAACCAAGATATGTATCGTTGGATTATAATTAATAATTGAGATATAAGTATATTGGCAATTTATTTCCTTTATAGTGTAAGACTAATAACACATATTTTACGATATAAATGTTGTGGCTATAGCCATTTAAAATATGAATAGCGTACATGTGATAGAGTAGGGAAAATAAAAGTTACAGAAAGATAGAGAAGATATATATAAAATCAATACGAAAGCACGATACATACTCAAGAATGACATAATTAACGAGTTTGCTTATAAATCGATTTTTGCTCGTCGTTGTTCCAATCCATTGTCGTACTTTCGTCGGCATCTTTATGTGTGTCAAGATGCTTTTCAGCTGGGCATGGTTCTTTGTTGAAAAAAGTCTCAACGTCCTTCAACGTCATGTCCAACTCGAACACGATTTCCCGCACACATTTCATTACTTCGCCTGTCTTTAAAGTATTTTCAGGATTTACTAAAGGGCTGATCTCTATACAAACTTCCGTGTTATCGTCCGCATCGTCGGCTATTCTTTTCGCTTCCTCGCTGATAGTTTTACATATGTCGCGCCACAATTCCTTTTGACCAGGATGAAGAATTTCGACCAACTTTCGAAAACTATTCCAGTCCATATTTTTACTGCTCTCGAGAATTTTCCGGTAGATTGTTGAAATATCTGCTGCTACTGTATGCTCGTCACTATCGCCAACGATATCTTTTAACGATGCATCCTTGTAAATAATGTGCTGTGTGACTTTTCTTGTAAAATTGTCTGAAGGATTTATTTTTCCAAACTTGTCAGAAGAGATGGAGATAGCCACATTTTTGTAAGGGATCTTGACAGATTCTTTGGAGTTGTTTAAATCTTGATTACATGTATTTTCGAAGTTATCTTGTTTTCTAAGTAAACAATTCTTATCTTCCAGTAATTCAGATAACTTGGTTGAAATACAATCGTTTGCGCAGTTATTTGTTATCTCGTTAGAATGAACGAAACTGGCATCCACGGATTTAGAATGCTGCAATTTTTCAATATTTAACGCGTCGGTCATTAAACCTTTCTCGTGATAAAATGTCGAATTTTTAGCGGAATCGGATGATACTATCTTTTGGATTAAATGACAAATCTTTCTTCGTATTTTCGGCGATAATCGAGCAAAAATATCCAAATCGTGTGCTTGTAGTTCGCACATTGATTTTTTAGAATTATCCGAACGTTTATGGTTTGCAATTTGAGCTCTGACATGTCGAGCGATATCCAGAGAAGCTCTTGACGAAACTAATCTGCGGCCTCGAGAAATATCTCCATCTATGTCATTTATCTCATATTTGCTATCTAGAGACTCTATCCATTCGTGTATCAAATTCTCAGCGGACGACGAGCTAAAAGTCGTAGTAGCACTTTCCCTTCTTTGTTCTGATAAAGTACAATCTTCAAGAGAATCTTTTTCAATATAATTACACCAATTATCCGTATTTTTTATCTTCTCTCTCGTATTAATACGTCGTAAACTATTTGCGGAAAAGTCAACATTTTCTCTGTTACCGTTCATTCTTGGCATCGGTAAACAATGATATTCGTCCAAAACTATTTCAGGCAAATGTCCCGTTTCGTCGAATAACCAGAATCCTAAATCGCGTTGTGGATGATCGTCTCGACTGCTGTACAAAATAGTACTTTGTCCCTTTCTTGCGTCTTCTACACGAGTACAACGTTTTTCTCGCAATTTTGAAAGAAATTCATCCTTTTGTTTGTCTAAAATCTCAAATTGACCACGTGCCAAATATTTCATAGTATCGATAACCGGATAAATATCGCCGTGCTTCTCGAATAGTTGCTGCGAACCGTCGACCTTTTGCGCAGTTTTAGAACTCATATCTCCCGCCAGCAAATCGTCGATTTGCGATTTACGTTCGTATGAAATCTTTCTTACGATTTCCTCTTTGTCAATATCGGCATAAACTTTCATCGCAGTCGAAGCTTCACATCTCAGATTATTATTTCGCACAGTGCTATTGTAATCATATTTCTTATCCCTTTTTGTTGTTTCAAAGTTCGTAAATAATTTTTTAATGGTGTTATTATTAAAGTGAGATTTGTTTTTAATCTTGACGCTAACATTGGCTTCCGTATCGGAAATATTATTAACTCTATTTGGATTTCCAATATAGTTTCTCATTGCGAAAGCACGCTTTTTAACTGGCAATGATTCAATTTCGCTCAATTCGTCTTTATATTTAGCTCGACAGTCTACCTTAGAGCTATCGACAAATATTCTTGATTGCGCATTATCTTTTAAATCTGGGAGATTTATTGAAATCTTTAATTTCTCCTTATTCTGGTCATTATTATTACAATCACGCTCGGCAGTTGTAATCTCGATATCTCTTGTCCTGGTTTTGGTCCTATTCCCTTTAAACTCTTCGATAGCAGGACGCAATCCTAGGATATAGCTTATTACTTCGCAACGTTCGCATCTGTACAAGGAAGAATCTTTTAAGAGAAGATCCTCTAACCTTTTATCATTATGTTGGGCTAACAAACATCGCAATATTCGCGAAATTTCATTACAGCAGTTATTAATCAACGAAGAGACTTTAGGGTCAGAATCTGTAATGAAGTCAAGAATCTTATAACTGCTCCTACCTCGATAAAAGGCACATTTGATGCATTATTTATGTCTGGATATATCTGAGAATACGTATTTTCTTTATTTATTTTTTTATTTATTTGATCGCGCAATTTTTTCTCATTTTCGTATAATGCACGGATCAATCGTTTATCCGACTGAAACGAAGGATGCAAAGTATCATGATTCAATTTCTGATAGATAGAAGATAATGACGTAATTTTCGATCTTTTGTCGTTTCTATATCCGTTCTCGTTTTCTTCCTTATTTTCATTGAACGAAAGGTCTCGTTTACTCTCCTGCTCGCTTATGGTACTTAAAGTTCTCGTGGAAAGTACTATTGTGTCATTTAAAAATGTTGCTTGGGATGGAATTATTGTTACTTCCCATAAATTATCATGATCCATATTCGACAAGACGCAACATTTCTTTGACAATTTTCTCGATGATGCATCCTTTTTTTATTTTTAACAAAGAATCAAATTTATTATTAATAGAATTTTCGAAGTTATATTTTTTATATATTATTATTAAGTATGTTATTATATAAAGTTTCTTTGACAAGTGATTTGATTACCGATTACATTTCATACTTATTCAACACTTTCACAAAATGAACTTTAAAGAATGATACATTATCATCGATTTATAACCCTCAAGTTTGTGTCATTAACATTCAATTATGTTGTGTGAGAGAGATGTGTCTTTATTAAAATTATATACAATAACAGTATGGACATGTAGGTTATAAATAAAGTTTGATAAAGCAACATGAAATTTGCCATTTAAATGTTTTGCTCGTAAAATCTCGCACAGTTCTGCAATCACTTGCGGAATCTGCATTGTGGTTCAAACACATTCTTTATATACATTTTAATATACATATAATTATATAAATGTACAATCAATAATTAAAGATTAAATAAGTAGAATTATAATAATTATTTATCTCAATATAATGCATGTAATAAAATTAATATAATAATTTTTCTACCTTATCTCAAATTGTAACGTTCAATTAATTAACATAATTCAAAACATAAAATTTAATGCATTAAAAAAATTTATAATTATTATTACAAAATACAAGTATTTAACTATATTCTCATTTTTTTATAATTTGATTGGCTGTTACTTTTCGCAAGCAAAATAACGATACAGTCTGTATTTTCTGTGTCTCTGCTCTCTATACAACGAACAAAGCATGATCTCGGCGGGAACTAACTGCATATTGCGAATATGATCGATTCTACGCTCATGGAAATGTAAAAAGATGACTATCTAGCATCCCGTCAAAGTCTTCGCGTGGAAGAGGTTTCCTTTTGTGAGAATGCCTCAGATCATGGCAGAAACGTTTGCGAGAGGGCTGCTAGACAAGATAATGGTAGATGTTCTGGACGTTATAGATCGCGACGCAGAGAACGGTAAGGTGCAAGCGTCTATATGTTTGGTTGATATAACAGCGTGTTGAATAGCGACATTGTTGTCATCTGTACGTCGATGTTGTTCGTCGATAAACGCCGTTCCATAATATTGTTTTAGAGTAGCACGATTTTTCGAGTACTCGATATATTCCTCGCAAAGAGAATTGCGAACAAATATGTATAATTATTCGTAATAGAGACACAAATAATATACTTGATAAACTGTCATTAGAAAAATCCTGGGAGCAGCACGTTAATGAGGAAACAGACAATGCCCAATTGGAATTTGTACACAGATCGCAAGCACACGAACATATGCACGTAAATTACAGTAAGGCCGAAGAAATAGAATTGATCGCCAAGATAGTCCGCGACCTGCGCGATATACAGATTGGAGATTCGCGTTACGTGCTACCACCTTCATTGTTAGCATTGGAGAAACAGGTAATTGGATGTAACTGTACATAAGGAAACCACATCTCTTCAAAACATTAATCAGTCATAATCAGTCACGGTGGTAATAGCCATTTAATCTTCACTCAAACTAGTTGCATAGATATACAAAGGATTATTACAAGACTATTTATAAATCGATTGATCCAGAATGATAAAGTTTTTATATTGCTTTTATATTGTTTATTAAAGTTTCTTATTTATTTTGTATTAGTTTTATCAAAATTTATAATTAAAGAAAATTTTAGCAATTGTCAAAATTTGTTAAACATGTATTAGAATATTAAAGAGATATTATATTTATATCGCTGCAGTTTGCAAAAGAGGAAAAATTTGAAATACAATCAATCTTGTGCATTTATTTCATCGGAAATGGTTCTGAATAAATCGAATGGCCGTATTTATAAAACTTTCACGTGCGAAGGATCTTGCATGTACAATCGCGGTTTGCTCTAATGCCTCTCTTGTGCTGCATTAATTTCACGCGTAATTATTTCCTGCACGTGTCACGTTAAGAAAGTTTACTCACGGGACACGCATCTATTCTCGCTCGTATAGATGAAATGCGCCGCGTGCAACGTCGACAGTGTGCCGCTCACGAACGCGACAGCTGACATCACTGAAACTCGGCACACGACTCAGGGTCAAGGCGACACGCACCAGATCGTACACGCGATCCTTGAGCCACCGATTGAGCTAGCGGAGCCGGCGAAAACGATCCGGAAGGAGAAGGAAACGATCAACGAAGCGACCAACGTAACCATCGGTCTGCTGTATCAGCTGATCGAAGAGTTAGAGAACAAGACAGTTTTAGTTTGCTCCAAGGACAACGCTCCTTCGTCCAGTAAAGAACGCATCGCCATTTGGGAAGAGAAGGAGGAACAACTCATTAGAACCATCGAGGACAACGTTGACAATAGGCAAGAAATTAAGATGGAGACTCTTCAAGAGAGCGAGTCGGCTGGTCGTTTCCGCGTCATCGAGCTGAAGCACGATGAAGAACTGAGATCTCACTCGAGTCAACATGTAGCATCCATCTCGAGAGAGGTTGACCTCGACGAAATTCAGCTCGAAAAACGCGGATCCAATTCGCTATCGTCATTAAAGCCGCCACACGACGACAATGCCGTGGAGCAGATTCTACCCATCGACGACGTGGAGAAGCGAAAGACATTCGGTGAATCGACTAAGAAGAAGAAGAAGAGAGGCTTAGGCAGCAGATTGAGAAAACTCCTCCGCGCAGCTTTTGGCCGTCGAAAGAATTGATGCGGATGTCCGGAAGGAATGTTACCTCGCGATCTACATTAAATATATGACGACGACCACCGTTCGTGGAACGGCTCTTTAATCGCGTGCTTCTGAAAGGGAATCATATTGTTCGTTCGCGAATTCGGAGAATAAAAATAACTGTGTAGTCACCGACTGATCTCCGTAACTTCGGCATCCTTTACAACTTTAGACGCGACGCGTGAATCCGAAGATACTGTACATTCCTAGATGTTAATCGCGCAAACATTGTAGGAACGCGCAAAATTTTGTAAAATATAATATAAAAAATAAAACATAAAATAATAAAACGTAAATATAAAATATAATATCCAATAATCATTGCGTTCTTGCATTGGTAGCTTAACAAAGTTAGCGGAGAACGATAGGGAACACGATAGTGCTACTTTAGAGCCTGATGCGGCGTCTAAGGCCGAGTGTATTTTCGCCTGACGTGTTCACCGAACGCTGCAGATCTGGCAACCCTGACATAAGAATGTCGTCGTCGACGTCGAAACCCCATTTATCGTAGCATGAAGAGGTACTAGCTTCTCAAACTGTTTTTGGACCGCGATGTTGCCATGTCCCGCGTTGATCCGGACCAAAACTCCTCTCCGAGACCTGAACCTCAACGTGATTTTAGTGTGTCTTCTGATTGTAGCGCCATCTGCAGAAACAAAATGAATAAATTTGGTGGAACCCGCGTCCACTCGTGGTTCAAACTTTGTTCAGTCAACATCCACTGATACCAGACAATCGACAATGGTAAGTCTCGATAGATTCGCAGCCTCCTCCTGTTTAGAGATCGAGAGAATCTCCCCGATAGCTTCTTTGTGACTTCACATTTTATATTTTTTCGACAACTTCAACAGCTCTTTTAAAATATTATCTACTTCATATTATAATTGAATAATAATGAATTTAATAAAATTTTTTAAATTTTAATTTAATAAACTATAAAATTATATTATTATTACAAATTAATAATGAACATCGAATTATCGAACTATAAAATGTTTTAATGTAGTAAAAACAAATCTCTTATATTTCAGGCAGACCTCAGCGGCAAGGATGTTGAAAGTGAGTAAAGCAATATTCAAATAGTTATCTTTTTTCTGATGTGCTTTATCGGGAATAATTAACAAAGATAAATTCAATCCAATTTATACCACAGAGTCAATGAAGTTACAAGTGACTCCTACATAATTTTATAACTTTTGTGCGTGATTCTACCAGAAAACAGTGATAAGAGTTCAAACAAAAAATCTAAAACTTCTATTACTTAAAATCGACAGTAAAATTTGTGCCCAAATATAAATGTGTTACCTTTAAAATCTCGCTAATAAAATTATATAAAGTCTTATTACAATCACAGTCTTATTACAATCATTTATATAATGCTTCATAAAATAATGCGTGCTTTGTAAGTACACATTATGTGGGCTTTAAATAGTGCACATTCTACGA